GTAGTAGTAGTAGTAGTAGTAGTAGTAGTAGATAGTAGTAGTAGTAGTAGTAGTAGTAGTAGTAGTAGTAGTAGTAGTAGTAGTAGTAGTAGTAGTAGCAGTAGTAGTAGGCAGTAGTAGTAGTAGTAGTAGTAGTAGTAGTAGTAGTAGTAGTAGTAGTAGTAGTAGTAGTAGTAGTCGAAGTCGTAGAAGTAGTACGAGATGTCTTTTGGGAGCCTCTTGGAAGCCTTTTGGAGCGTCTTCGGGGCCTCTTGGCGGCCCCAGGGGCTTCGAGGAGCGTCTGGGGTGCCTTGGGGGAGCCTCTTGGGGCCTCTTGGGAGCCTCTTGGAGGCGGTTTGGGGCGTCTTGGAGGCCTCTTGGCGGCTCCAGGGGCTTCCAGGAGCGTCATGGGTGCCTCGGGGGAGCCTCTTGGGGCCTCTTGGGGGCCTCTTGGTGGCATCTTGGGTGCCTCTTGGAGGCCTCTTGGGGGCTCTTGGAGGCCTCTTGGAGGCCTCTTGGAGGGGTCTGGGGGGAATCTTGGGGCCATCTGTCGGGCGATCGATCACAGATGGGGGGAGCATTTTTCTCCCCCCCCCGTCGGGGCCAGAATCCTCGTGAGGGGTGTCGAATTTTAGCCCTCCCAGGAGTCGAAAAAGACCCCTCCGGCGACCCGCGGTGGGACCTCTCCGGGCCCAGGGGGAGGGGGTAGGGGGAGGGGTAAACCCCTCCCCGAAGGGGAAGAAGGGGGGTTGAGAGCAGAGCGGGCTCTCTAAACCATTCACGCCCAAAGGGCTGGTGGGATTATTGCGAATATGAGAAGGATGATGGTGATACTGGATGTAATGATGATTGTTGTGGCGGTGGTGGTGGTGGTGGTGGCGATGATGACGACGATGACGATTATGATGAGGATGATTACAAAAATGATGATGATGATGATGATGATGATGATGATGATGATGATGATGATGATGATGATGATGCTGATGATGATGACGATGATGATGCTGATTATGATGATGCTGATAATGATAATGATGATGCTGATTCTGATTATAATCATGAGAATGATGATGTTGGTGATGATGATGCTGTTGATGATAATGATGAAGCTTATGATGCGGAGTATGAGGATGATGTGGATGCTGATGCTGATGATGCTGATGCTGATGATGCTGCTGCTGATGATGATGGTGATGGTGATGGTGATAATGCTGATGATGGTGATGATGTCGGGGGTGTTGATGATGATTGTGATGATGATCAGTATGATGATGGTGATGATGACCATGCTGACGATCATGATGATGATGCAGATGATGATAATGATGATGATGATGATGATGATGATGATGATGATGATGATGATGATGATGATGGGGATGGCGATGATGACGATGACGATAATGATGCTGCTGATGTTGATAGTGATGATGATGATCCTGCTGATGCTGATGCTGATGATGATGATGCTGATGCTGATGCTGATGCTGATGATGATGATGATGATGATGATGATTATGTTGATGATGATACTGCTGCTGCTGCTGATGATGATGGTGATGATGATGATGCTTATGATGCTGAGTATGAGGATGATGAAGTGGATGCTGATGCTGATGATGCTGATGCTGATGATGCTGCTGCTGGTGATGATGGTGATGGTGATGGTGATACTGCTGATGATGGTGATGATGCCGGGGGTGTTGATGATGATGTTGTTGATGATTAGTATGATGATGGTGATGATGACCATGCTGACGATCATGATGATGATGATGCTGGTGATGATGATGATGATGATGATGATGATGATGATGATGACGATGACGATGATGATGATGCTGCTGATGTTGATAGTGATGATGATGCTGCTGATGATGATGCTGATGCTGATGATGATGCTGATGCTGATGCTGATGCTGATGCTGCTGATGATGATGATGATGATGATACTGATCATGTTGATGATGATACTGCTGCTGCTGCTGATGACGATGATGATGATGATGATGATTATGATGATGATGATGATGATGATGATGATGATGATGCTGAGGATGATGATGATGATGATGATGATGATGATGATGATGCTGATGCTGATGCTGGTGCTGGTGCTGATGCTGCATGCTGGTGCTGATGAGTACGAGGAAGAGGATGGGGGAGGAGGAGGAGGAGGAGGAGGAGGAGGAGGAGGAGGAGGATGTCGATGATGCTAGTGCTGATGATGCGCGAGGGCAGAGGGTGCGTGAGGAGTAGCTGCGTGCGCGAAGACGAGGGGGACTGGGTTGACGATGGGGCGGGAGGATGCTACCCCGCCGAGGACCTGCGAGCAGGACGAGCAAGGGGAGGAGTCGAATAAGGAGGGCGGACGGAGGGGGGGGTAATTAGTAGAAGGACCTGGTTGACGGGAGGGAGGAGGGAGGAAGAAGGGAGGGAGGACGGAGGAGGGAGGGAGGGAGGGAGGGAGGAGGGAGAGGAGGGAGGAGAGAGGAGAGAGGGAGGGAGGGAGGAGGGATGGCGGGAGGAGAGAGGGCGGGAGTAGTAGGAGGGCGGGAGTGGTAGAAGCGGGATGAGCAGGGGGAGGAAAGGCAGAAGGATTTGGGTTGACCGGTTGCTCTTCTTTTTGTGGTGGGGGGGGAGGGGGCTGGATTGTTCCCAAATGGGGGGGAAGAACAGCAGCAGCCAGGAGGGCAGGAGGACGAGAAACAGAGGAGGAGGGGGGAGGAGGGACAAGCCCTCTCCCTGCAAATCGGCAGCGCATCTGAAATATGATGCTGAGAAGGGCCTGAAGTAATATGGCTTTGGGGCGCCTTAGCCCCGTTCGTGGGCCCAGCTTCCTGGTGTCCTCACCCTGGAGGGCACGGTGGCTCGGCGGAACGAGGTGGCCACGCAGCATGATGGCTTGACGCGAGCGGTGTCTGGCCGCTGGTTGGGTTGCTGGGCCCAGTTCGACCAGACGTACGAGTGACCTTTCGCCGGAGTGACCTCTGGTGCGGGGCAATTGGGTAGCCCAGGTCGCCAAACGCGATGCGATAGCAGCGTCTTGCGCGCTGGTGGTTGGTCCCCCCGCGGCCCCTAACAAGCCGCGCACCAGAGGCCGCTCGTGCCCAGAGGTCACCCCTGCGTGTAGTCGACCAGTGTCAAGTAGATCTCGTCCAACAGCGCGGACTGCCGGCTCCCGGCCACCCACCCGTCCCGCGCGAGGCGGGCGGGGGCGGGACGGTCACCCGTGACAATTTCTTGCCCTGGGTGGCGCTAAGAGCAGGTACACATTCTTCATCTCTAAGTACTCGGAAGCTCTTTGATTTTTTTTTGGGGCCAAGACCCTTTTCATTCCTAATTCTTCTATCCTGGGCCTCTTCCTGGCCACTAGGGGGCCAGGAGCACTTAGAAACGAGCACAAGTAGAAATGAACACGATTAGACATGAACGACGTGTAGGTGACACTGGATCGGAACAACCGCCCGAATGTCCGCCCTGGCGGACACGGAGCTTTTTGATCACGGCCTTGAGAAAACAAATTGCACCACAATGCAAGATGCAACGGGCCTACACTAATTTCGTAGTGGTGCGACGGTGGTGGTGTATGTTTGCCATTGGACCAGGCCTTCCGCTTCACACTCGGGCGCGCGCATGTTCGAATCATCATTTGGTTTGCGGCGCACCCTTGATTGATAAATCCGCTCGTGTGCGGCGCGTCCTGGATTTATACATTCTGTGGCGCGCTTGCTCCACAGATCTCGCGCGTTGTTCGGTTCTTGTTGCCTCGCCTGCAACGGCTGTGACCGGGGCCACCTACGTAAGCAGGCCAGAGGTGAGCTGGGCATCCCAGCTCGCACCTCCCAAGTGTGTTTCGTTGAGGCAGTGGCGGTGTAGTGAGGCGCGCTGGCCGCAGCCATCGCGCACAGAGTCATGAGCAAGTGCGTGGGAGGAGGAAGGGGGGAAGGAGGGAGAGGACGGGAACAAAAGTTTTTGGTTACTGTGGCTTTGCCGCGCCTGTGACGGCTGTGACGGGCTCGGGGCCACCTGAGCTCGCCAGAGGTGAGTTAGGCAGCCCAGCTCGCACTTCTCCAGAGTGCCTCGTGGAGGCACACTGGCGGTGCAGCGGGGCGCGCTGGCCGCAGCCATCGCGCGAAGTGTCATGAGCAAGTGCGGGGCAGGAGAAAGGGGGGAAAGGATGGGGGAGGACGGGAACGGGGGTGATTGGTTCAGGCGGGCTTGTCGGCAAGCCCGCCGTTGCAGGCGCGGCAATTGCAGCGCCTGCAAATGCTGTGACCGATTCGGGGCCACCTCAGCAGGCCAGAGGTGAACTGGCACACGGGTGCCGGCGCCTGTTCATCGACAGGGGTGGGCAGCCCAGCTCGCACCTCACCGGAGTGCCTCGTGAAGGCACAGTGGCGGTGCAGCGGGGCGCGCTGGCCGCAGCCATTGCGCGAAGTGTCATGAGCAAGTGCGGGGCAGGAGGACGCGGGGAATGGATGGGGGACGACGGGAACAGGGGTGATTGGTTGATGCGGGCTTGCCGTGCTTGCAACGGCTGTGACGGGCTCGGGGCCACCCAAGCAGGCCGGAGGTGAGCTGGTAGACGGATGCCAGCGCCTGTTCCTCGACAGGGGTGGGCAGTCCAGAATGCCTCTGGCGGTGCTGTAGGGCCGTGCCTCTGCTGGGAAAGTGGAGCAGAACCGTCGGCATTTCCGCCGGGCTGTGTCCTGGAGGTCAGTACCTCATGCGTGGGAGTGTAGAGAGAGTGCACAGGACCGCCGGCATTGCCGCGGGTCCGTGTCCTGGAGATCGGTGCTCCCATAATGGGGTATATGTTCAGGCCCGCCTGCTTAGTCACCAGGTTGCGACTTGAACGCGGGTACTTCTTGCACGCACGTGTGACGGGTATGTACGACCGCCAGCGTTGCCGCCGGGCTGTGCCTTAGAGGTCGGTACCGCAGGTGTGCAGGCGTGGGATGACAGGTGTGCAGGTGTGGACTGAAAGCAGGATCACCTGCAATGCCGCCGGGCACTGCCCTGGAGGCAAGCACGCTTGCTGGCCCTTTGCCACCGTCGCCCTGCTGCTCACGCCGCTGGGGGCTGGGCTGGGGTGCTCGTCGGGTGTGGCATCCCACGCCCTTAGTGGGGTCTCGTGCGTCCACAGCCGGCTTCCCCAGAGGGGTATCGAGCAGCATTGACACCGGGAGGAAGCTGAGAAGGAGAAAGAGGGCGGGGGACGAGGAGGAGGACGAGGAGGAGGTGGAGGAGAAGGATGATGAGGAAGCGGGTTATGTGAGAGGAGGCAGGGGACAGCAGGAAGAGAATGGTGTCAATGTGGATGACAATGAGGGTGAGGGAGACTTGCGTGGAGATGAGGCAGGATGGGGATGATGATGATGATGATGATGATGATGATGATGATGATGATAACGGAGATGACGATGAGGAAGAAGAGCATTTGAAGTCGTGGGGGATGGTGAAGAGGAAGAAGGGCATGAAGTGGAGCGAAACGGGATGAAGGGAAGGAACACGAGGAGTATAAGGAGGAGGAGGAGGCGGAGGAGGAGGAACAGGAGGAGGAACATCATGTTGAGGAGCAGTCTCAATTCTCAATATGAGAATGATGACGACACTGGGACGGAGGAGAGGAAGGAGCAAGAGGATGAGGAAGAGAGTGGGCGAGCAGGAGGAGGGTAAGACGTGAGATGTAGGGGGGTGCAAAGGAGTTCGGTCTTGTTCTCCTGCCCCGCTTCCCTGCCCCCTTTGGATCGCCTCCCTTCCCCTCCTCCGCCCTCCCTTCAAGGATGCCTTTGTGGCGTGGCTGGCGGCGCTGCCAGAGAAGATCGAGCGAGAGGAGGTGAACTTCCCGGAAGAGAGGCGGAAGGCCATCTTCAAGCACTTGGATTCGGCAAAGACGGGCTCCATCACGCTGGAGAACTTCAAGGACCCCGTGGAGGAAAACGGAATATGAAGATGTCAAGGAACAGGATAATGAAGACGAGGACGACGAGGACGACGAGGATGACGAGGACGACGAGGTGGGGCAGGCATGAGGGGGGGAGGAGGATGAAGAGGAGAGGTTGAGGGGGGCAACGGGAGTTCGCACGGGCGGGGACAGCGGAGGAGGAACGGGAGGATGAGGGAAAGAGGAGAAGAATGAGGTCGCACGTGGAGGAATAGCATGGAGTCGGGGCTGGCTTGCCCTTAGAATTTACCAGCGCTCCAGCGTAACAGTGTCACATCAGGATGATGATGATGATGATGATGATGATGATGATGATGATGATGATGATGATGATGATGATGCTGATGATGCTGATAATGCTGCTGATGCTGATGCTGATGCTGATGATGATGATGCTGCTGCTGCTGCTGCTGCTGCTGATGATGATGATGATGATGATGATGATGATGATGATGATGATGATGATGCTGATCTGGAGAAGTATCGACGATGCCTCAGGCGAGTCACTGCCGCCTTCCGCCACTTAGAGGCGTTCATGCGAAAGCATGGCCCCGCTTGTGAACTGCATGCTCGCCCAGCTCCGGGGCCGTCTTCTAGCTATCTCGTGGCACTTTTCGGGCTGCGTGGGCCTTCTTCGGGGCCCCTTTCGGGCTGGACATCTTGGGGCTCCCTTGGACTATCCCGGGGCGCTCTTGGGCCGTCCAGCAGCTTCGGAGACTGTCTCGGGGGCATCTCTGGGCCTTGTTCGTTTTATCTTGAGGCCCAGCAGGGTCGTCTTGGAGCTGTCTTGAGGACCTCTGGGGCCGTTTTGGGCCGCTCTAAGGACCTCCTGGGTGTTTTGAGGCCTCTTGTGCCATCTTGGACGCTCTCGAGACGGACGAATCATGACCTTTGCCTCTGAAGGACCTCCCAGGGGACGATAGCGCCTCAACGCAACATGATTCACATCTCTCCTCTCTACTCCTCCCCCTCCCCCTCCTCCTCCCCCTCCTCCCCCTGCTCTCTCCACCCAGCGTTTCCCCCACCAAGTACAGCGCTTCGTGGCCCCATAGGGAGCTCCACCGAAGGCCCCAGTGGGGGTGCCCGCAGGCGTCCGCCGCGCCCAGTACAGCGTTTCGTGGCTCCAATAGGGAGCCCCACCGAAGGCCCCAGCGGGGGTGCCCGCATGCGTCCGCCACACAGTACAGCGCTTCGTGGCTCCACCGGGAGCTCAAGTGAAGGCTCCAGTGGGTGTGCCTGCATGCGTTTGCCAAACCTAGTACAGCGCTTCGTGGCCCCATAGGGAGCTCCAGCGAAGGCCCCAGTGGGGGTGCCCGCATGCGTCCGCCACACCCAGTACTACATCGCTTCGTGGCCCCATAAAGGGGGTTCGACTGAAGGCCCCGGTGGGTGTGCCCTCATGCGTCCAACACATTCAGTACAACGCTTCGTGGCCCCATAGGGAGCTCCAGCGAAGGCTCAGTGGGGGTGCCCGCATGCGTCCGCCACACCCAGCACATCGTTTCGTGGCCCCCACAGGGAGCCCCACCGAAGGCCCCAGTGGGGGTACCCGCATGCGTCCGCCACACCCAGTACAGCGTTTCGTGGCCCCATAGGGAGCTCCACCGAAGGCCCCAGTGGGGGTGCCCGCAGGCGTCCGCCGCGCCCAGTACAGCGTTTCGTGGCTCCAATAGGGAGCCCCACCGAAGGCCCCAGCGGGGGTGCCCGCATGCGTCCGCCACACAGTACAGCGCTTCGTGGCTCCACCGGGAGCTCAAGTGAAGGCTCCAGTGGGTGTGCCTGCATGCGTTTGCCAAACCTAGTACAGCGCTTCGTGGCCCCATAGGGAGCTCCAGCGAAGGCCCCAGTGGGGGTGCCCGCATGCGTCCGCCACACCCAGTACTACATCGCTTCGTGGCCCCATAAAGGGGGTTCGACTGAAGGCCCCGGTGGGTGTGCCCTCATGCGTCCAACACATTCAGTACAACGCTTCGTGGCCCCATAGGGAGCTCCAGCGAAGGCTCAGTGGGGGTGCCCGCATGCGTCCGCCACACCCAGCACATCGTTTCGTGGCCCCCACAGGGAGCCCCACCGAAGGCCCCAGTGGGGGTACCCGCATGCGTCCGCCACACCCAGTACAGCGTTTCGTGGCCCCATAGGGAGCTCCACCGAAGGCCCCAGTGGGGGTGCCCGCAGGCGTCCGCCACACCTAGTACAGCGCTTCGTGGCTCCATAGGGAGCTCCAGTGAAGGCCCCAGTGGGACCGCCCGCATGCGTCCCCCCACCCAGTACAGCGTTCCGTGGCCCCATACGGAGCTCCAGCGAAGGCCCCAGTGGGTGTGCCCGCATGCGTTCGCCACACCAACTACAGCGCTTCGTTGCCCCGCAGGGAGCTCCAGTGAATGTCCTAGTGGGACTGCTCGCATGCGCCCCTCCCACCCAGCACAGCGTTTCGCGGCCCCATACGGAGCCCCAGCGAAGGTCCCAGTGGGCATGCGTGTCCACAACCCAGTGCAGCGCGTCGTGGCCCCACAGGGAGCTCCATCGAAGTTCTCAGTGGAACCACCCCACGCGTCCCCCCACCCATTACCGCACGCCCCATCACGGTTGCGTGGCCCACCGGAAGCGGCACCCACAACGCGTTCCTCACAACTGCATATGGTTGGGTCCTTCGCCAGGATATTGAATCGCTTCGCTCATTCCGCCGGCCCGTGATATGGCATCGCTGGTTTTTGTCTGTGTGTTCGTTGCCCATGTTGCGCTCTTGGGGGCGGGTGTCGTTCGGACGCGTTGCGTGGGGAGTTTTGATGGTGAAGCAGTTCCCTGGGGGTCGTCTCTCGATGGGGCGAAATAGAGTCGTCGTCAAGATGCTTCTTTGGGGGGCCTCTTGGGGTCTGTTGAGAGGCCGTTCGGGGGCGCCTGGGAGACATGTTTGAAGCCTTCTGGGGCTTCTTTTGGGCCTCCTGGGAGTCTCCTGGGGCCTCTTGGCGACATCTTGGGGCCTCTTGGAGGCCTCTTGGGGCCTCTTTGGGACCTCCTGGGCGCCTTCTGGGACGGAGGGCTCCATTTTTGAGTTCTCGGTATCCCTCCTGAGTCCCTCTTGGGCCCGTCTTGGGGCCTCTTGGTCCGTCTTGGGCGGCACTTGGGCCGTCTTGAGGGCTCTCTTGGGTCGTTTCGGCGCCGTCTTGGGAGCTTCGTGGGCCGTCTTGGAGCGGTCTTGGGGGCCTCTTGGGCCGTCTTGGAGCGTCCGGAAGCCGAAAAAGCCAGAACACAAAAAACATAGAAAAAACAATGAAAATCACCGATTTTGGCCTCTTGGGGCTCTCTTCGGAGGCCTCTTGGAAGGCTCTTGGGGCGTCTTGGAGGCCTCTTGGGCTGTCTTGGGGGCCTTTTGGGCCGTCTTGGGGTCATCTTCCGCGTCTTCGAGCGCTCTTTGGCGCGTCTCGGGGGCCTCTTGGGCAGTCTTGGGGGCCTCTTGGGGCACTCTGAGCGCGCTCTGGGGAGCCTGAGAGGCCGCACCCAGAAGGAAAACCATCTCTGAGTAGACTTGGTCGGGCGGCGGTCGGGCGGCGACCGGGCGGCGACCGGGCGTTGGTCGGAGTGCTTTTCGCCGGGGGACCCCCAGGGGCCGCCCCGCGCGCGCGAACTAGAAATACTGTTCTGGTTACCGGAGATCTTAGCACGCCCTGGCCCGTTGGGCCGGCGATTTTTTTTTTCTTCCAAAATCAGCCTGTAGGGGGACATGCCTGTCCTAACACTATTGGGGCTGTCTTGCGCTGGAAGATCGATGGGATGCGAAGTTTGGATGGTTTCTGGGTGGCCGGAGCGATCGGCCGAGGTCCCGCTCCTCCTCCTCATCATCATCATCATCATCCTCCTCCTCCTCCTTCTCCCCCTCCTCCTCCTCCTCCTCCTCCTTCTCCTCCTCCTCCTGCTCCTTCGCCTCCTCCTCATCCTCCTCCTTCTCCTCCCCCTCCTTCTCCTCCTCCTCATCCTCCTCGTCCTCCTCCTTCTCCTCTCTCCTCCTTCTCCTCCTCCTTCTCCTCCTCCTCCTCTCCTTCCTCCTCATCCTCCTCCTCCTTTTCCTCTCCTCCTCCTCCTCCTCCTCCTCCTCCTCCTCCTCCTCCTCCTCCTCCTCCTCCTCCCCCTGGCCGAAGATCCAAACCATCGAAAGCTTACAGTGGGGGTCCATGCCAAGAAACACCCTGCTTGCCTCCAGGGTGCCCTGGGTTTCGTGGGTTTCGAAGGTTTCGCCATTGGAGGCGTGACGCTCCCACACCAAGAATCAATGGGCGTCCTGGGGTCTCAGGGTTGGGTTTCTTGTGGAAGGTTTCTTGTGGTCGGGACCCCATTGTACCACGCCAGGCACCCGTGTGGCAAGCCACAGGGGGCAGGGGTCGTGGACCACGCACCCCTGCGACACCAACCCTGCTTCTTGGGATCATCGTGGGATCTCTTGGAGGGTCTCTTGGAGGGTTCCCAGAGATCTTTTGGAGGCCCCCTGGGGGCCTCCGTCTTGGGGCCTCTTGGGGGCACCTTGGGGTCCTGCTGGCGGTCTCGGGGTCATGTTGAGGAAGAGGGCTCCTGGGGTCTCTTCGAGCCCCCCCTTTGTGCCTGTCTTTGGGCCCTCTTGGGTGCCTCTCGGGTACCTATTTGGGGCTCGGGGGCCGTTGCGAGCCTGTTTGGCCGATTTGGACGCTCTTGTTAAGAGCGTCCAATTCGCCCACTAGGCGTCCAACGGCCTTTTTCCGGTCCCAGTTGTAACAGAAAAGCCGCCAAATGCATATAACATTGCAACAACATGTTCACCACACAGCGTTTGCGCGGTGTTCTTATTTGATCTGTGCGGGTTTGCCCGTGATATCTTTGTTTTTACTTGACCTTCTCCCGTGAGAGTCTCGTGGCCGCTTGGTGAGCTGGTTGGGTCTTCTAGCTCTTTTGGGCAGGTCGTCGCCCTTCAGCGTCCAGTGGCCGCCTCGTGTGCCTCGGGGACGCGGCCTGACTTCAGCGTACACTCAGGACGATGAAATGAGGAATAGCCCGGGTTCAGAAAGGGCTAGATTTTCATTTGGGATTTCCATGGCTGTTCGTCTAGCCCTCCTCGTGCACGCATGCGCTTCGGGTGCCATAAAGGGGCTTCGTTCTATACTTATCGTTCCTTATTTCAGCTGCCCCGTATTTGTTGACACCTTCGAGGACATGTTCAAGAGGAGGTTCACGTGCGTCAAGCAGATCTCGGTCACCGATGTGTTCGAGATCGCCAAGAGCAAGACGACCTCCAAGATAGAGCCCGGAGAGGTCCTCGAGTCGACGGGAATGGCCGGCGCCAGAGCCGACGAGGGAGGCATGACGCGAATAGAGTGCAGGACCTTGCCGCGCGCCACAGTTCGGGAGGACTGGGAACATCTCAGGTTAAGTAGGGAGGAGGATCGGGAGGCGGAGGACCGGGAGGAAGGAGGATAAGCAGGATTGGGACGCAGTTCAGGATCGTCTCGAGCGGTGCGGTCGGCTTCGTGACCGTGAAGGGGAACGAGGGCACGAAGTACCTCGATGAGGTCACGGCCTTCAGTGCCTTCACCGTGGGCATGGACAAGGCCCTCGCCGAGGCCAGCAAGGCGATCAACAAAGCTAGCGGGTTCCTCAGCCAGAAAGCCAAGGACGGGGAGCGGAAAGGGAGGGGCGTGGCACAGGAGGGGGGAGGGGGATGACAAACAGATGGAGGAAGAGGGGCGAGTCGACGGGAAGGAGGAACAGAAAATGGCATGCCCACATCTGCATTGACCCTCTTGCCGCAGTTGCCGACCGATCGAGGAGGAGGAGGAGGAGGAGGAGGAGGAGGAGGATGAGGAGGAGGAGGAGGAGGAGGAGGAGGAGGAACTTCCTCGGGATCGGCACCCCGACTTCTCCTGGAGCGTGCTCGAAGCATCGGCACCCTCGACGGAGGGCTAGTCCACGCTCCTCCGCGGGGAGAAGGAGGAGGAGGAGGAGGAGGAAGGAGAGGAGGAGAGGAGGAGGAGGAGAGGAGGAGGAGGAGGATGGAGGAGGAGAGGAGGAGGAGGATGTAGGAGGAGGAAGGAGGAGGAGAGGAGGAGGAGGAGGAGGAGGAGGAGAGGAGGAGGAGAGGAGAGAGGAGGAGGAGGAGGAGGAGAGGAAGGAGGAGGAGGAGGAGGGAGGAGGAGGAGGAGGGAGGAGGAGAGAGGAGGAGGAGGAGGATGAGGAGGAGGAGGAGGAGGAGGAGGAGAGGAGAGGAGGAGGTAGGAGGAGGAAGAGAGAGGAGGAGGAAGAGGAGGAGGAGAGAGAGAGAGGAGAGGAGAGGAGGAGGAGGAGAGGAGGAGAGGAGGAAGGAGGGAGGAGGAGGAGGAGAGAGGAGGCAGGACGGCGGAGGTAGGAGGCGCGGAGGCGAGAGCTGCGGCGCAGCAGGGTGTTAGGAGGCGGCTGCGGAGGAGGGGTGAGTGAGGCAGGATCGGCGGCGGAGATGATTCGGCTGAGCGTCGGAGGCGGGCGGCGGGGGCGGCGGAGCACCCGCTCCAAGCGGCTCCCTGGACCCCCCCGCGAGCAGCAGCTTGGCTTGGCCAGGCTGCCGAGCCGCGTCCGGCCGCGGCGGGCCCCGGAGGCCGCCCAGAGTGCCACAGGACGAGGAAAGAAAGGCGAGCGCGCCATCGACCCCTCCGCCCAGCCCTTCCTCCTCCTCCTCCTCCTCCTCCTCCACCACCTCCTCCTCCTCCTCCCCATCCTCCTCTTCCTCCTCCTCCTGCCCCTCCTCCTCCTGCCCCTCCGCCCAGCCCTTCCCACGGCACTGAAACATATCCCACAGTGGAGGCCCCTCCTCCTCCTCCTCCTCCTCCTCCTTCTCCTCCTCCTCCTCATCCTCCTCGTCCTCCCCCTCCTCCTCCTTCTCCTCCTCCTTCTCCTCCTCCTTCTCCTCCTCCTCCTTTTTTTCCTCCTCCTCCTCCCCGTGGCCGAAGATCCAAACCAGCGAAAGCTTAGCTTACGGTGGGGGCCCATGGCGAGAAACACCCTGCTTGCCTCCAGGGCGCCCTGGGTTTCGTGGGTTTCGAGGGCCTCGTGATGGAAAGCACCAAGAATCAGTGGGCGTCCTGGGGTCTCAGGGTTCGGTTTCTCGTGGAGGGTCTCTTGTGGTCGGGCCCCTACCCGAGTTTTACGTATCCCCGAGAGGAGAAGCAGTAGGAGGAGGAGGAGGAGGAGGAGGAGGAGGAGGAGGAGGAGGAGGAGGACAGACGCGCGATTGCTTTTTGATCAAAGTCGGTGTACCATCGAAGAGAGGAGGAGGAGGCGGAGGAGGCGGAGGAGGAGGAGGAGGAGGGGGGGAGGAGGAGGACTGTATCCTATCCGCCGACGGGTGTGTCCCGGGGGGCCCTGGTCCCCACATGGCAGTTGCAGGGTTCGGCCCGCCGTCTTGCGGCGCAGTCTGCCGGGGGGCGGCGACGCGTCCTCCGCCCTCTGCTCCCCACGCCCGTCTTCACAGTTGTTTCCTTCGAGTTTCGCGGCGAGTCCCCGTGACCCTGACGCGACGACGACAACGACGATAACGACGACGACGACGACGACGACGATAAGGACGAGAACGGGGACGAGGACAAGGACGACGATGGCGACGACGACGACCACGACGATCACGACGCCGACGACGACGACGACAACGACGGCAACGACAACGACCACGACGACAACTATGACGACGACGAGGGTGACGACGACGACGACGACGAGGGTGACAACGACGACGACGACGACGGTTGACGAGTTAGGTCGATTGCAACACTGTTCGCTGTAAGGCTCTAGGCTTCTCTCGCTTTCGTCGTTGCCATCGTCTGTTTGTGTGGGCAACTCAACATATCTGTATCCATGGCCTCGCGGGCCGGGCCCCTGGGTCGCGACCCCGCGGATACGGGGCGTTTTTGTTCGCAGATGCCCCGCGCGGAACGTATCCGTGCGACCGCGCATCCGCGGGATTGCCCCCGGACTCCAGACCGCGAGGCCGCGGACGTGGATACTCTTGCCGCTCGTGAGGTTAACCCGTCGTTGCCGCCGGCCCGAGAGGGCAAAACAAACAGTACAAAAGCTGGAGGAAGGGGCGGAGGGAGGGCGATGGGGCGGCCGTGGGCCGCGCCGACGACCGTGAGGGCGGCGACGCTGACGACGTGGACAACGTTGGAGGTGACGACGACGACGACGACCACGACGACGACGACGCCGACGACGACGATGACAGGGACGGGGGCGCAGCCCGAGGAGCTGTCCGCAAGCACGCCGGGGCCCCTGGCGGAGGCGAGGGCCGAGCTGTTGAAGCTGCGGCCCAAGGTCGCCTCAGCCTCGGCCGCAGCCGCCGTCGCCGCTGCCTTTGTCGTCCTCGGCGTCGTCGTCAACGTCTTCAACGTCGCCAACTTCGTCAACGTCGTCAACGTTGTCAACGTCGTCAGCGACGTCAGCGTCTCCAGCGTCAATGTCAGTCGTCCTCGTGGTCAGCGTCGTCAGCGTCGTCGTCTTTGTCCGTGGTCCGAGCTGCTGAAGCTGTGGCCCAATGTCGCCTCGGCTGCCGCCGCTGCCGTCGTTGCCGTCGTCGTCGTCGTCGTCGTCGTTCGTCGTCCGGCATGGACGGCGACGTCGCCGCCCGCTGTAGTCTTCACCGCCAAGGTCACCTCGGCCTCGCAGAGCCTCGACACCATGAAGAGGAAGACGGTTCTCGCCAAGGCTGCCTTCGTGAAGAGGGAGGCGGAGGACCTGGGGAGGGACGAGGTGGGTGCGAGGCCCTGGTCACGCACAGGGGCGCGAAGAGTGACCGCGCTTCGTGTGTGGCCGGCTCGGCTGGAGAGCCGTCCTTCCCAGGACGTCGGCGCGAGAGCGCGAAGACAATCAAGCGATGCGTCTGTCGCGGCGCGCAGCGCGAAGTGAGGTGACTCAGGCTCACCTCGGTGGACAGGTTTGCTGGGTCTCGCGGCGAGCGCCGCTGCTTCGATGACGCAAACCGTTTGTGCAACAGCCGTCGCCGCCAGTTTCGGACGATGCTTGCAGCTGGGCCTCGCTCCTGGTATCGTATCTCCTAATGTGGAGTAGCGCCGCCAACAGATCCGTCGACAACGCTGGAGCCACTGGTTGCCCTCGGGGTGCCGCGCTCCACACCCTGGAGGGTTTTGTGATCATCAGCATCAGCAGCATCAGCATCATCATGAACATTATCATCATCATCATCAGCATCATGAGCATCATCATCATCATCATCATCATCATCAGCAGCAGCATCATCATCATCATCATCATCATCATGAGCATCAGCATCATCATCACCACCATCTTCACCAGCATCACCATCACCATCACCATATGCATCATCATCACCATCATCATCGTCATCATCATTCATCATCATCATCACCAGCAGCAGCAGCAACACCATCACCATCATCATCAGCAGCAGCATCAGCATCATCATCATCATCAACACCATCAGCATCATCTTCATCATCTTCATCTTCGTAATCACCATCATCGTCATCACCATCGTCCATCATCATCAACACCATCAGCAGCAGTAACAACACCGCCACCATCACCATCATCATCAGTATCATCATCAGCATCAGCATCAACATTTGCGTCAGCATCACAATCAGCATTATCACCCTCGCGTCCTGATTTCGGGTGCGCCGGCCAACAGGAGAGGAACGCACACATCGTGGCCAAGGAGAAGAAGGAGGCCGACGCCGTGCTGGCCGTTGCCAGGGCAAAGGTGGACCCCATGGAGGCCGCCGCTTCCGCCTCCTTCCTTCCCCTCCCTCCTCGCCGTCCCCCTTCCCCCTGCTGCTCATCGCCCTCCCCCGTCCCCCTGCGAGTCGGGCCGATGCTGGATGGGCCTCTTCCTGTGGCTTCTTTCTGGCCCGGCACCTCCTACAGTCGGGGCCCTGCAGAAGGAACCCTTTTCGTTGGGGAGGGGCTCCGCGTTCCTGAAGTGTTTCACAGCTTGCCTCAGGTTTTCCTCATGGTTTCGATCGGAAGTCGCAGCTTAACTTATGGAAACAAGGGGCCTCGTTCCTTAGTAATCAGGAGAGAAAAAAACACACAGACACAATCAATCGTCGATTCCAATGAAAATATGGGAACATATGGGAAGTGGGGGGGAAGACAAAAACCCAGAAAATATGGGAAAACATTGGGAATATTTGTTTTGTGTATATTTATTTGTGTGTCCTAGGGCCCCTTCAATCTAGGGCTCCTCAGGTCAACGCCCCGACTGTACGCGGTGGCGGTGCCTCGGTCCCGGTGCGCAGGCCGCCCGTGTCTCGCTCGGCCTGCTGGCGCCAGAAGCCCTCCCGCGCTGCCCGCGCGTGTGGTTGGCCCCGCCTCCGTGCGGCAGGCCACCGCTCGTTCGGCCCCACGTAGGTCGGGGACGGAAAAGAGGGGGGTGATGACTGGGGGGGGGTGATGACTGGGGGGGGGCGGGATATCATGGCGGGGGCCATGATATTTCCCCAGATCTCATGCCGCCTCTTCTTACTTCCCACGCTGCCCGCGCGTGTGGTTGGCCCTGTCTCCGTGTGGCAGGCCACCGCTCGCTCGGCCCCACATCCAGTCGGGGTTTCTGAAGAAGGAACCCTTTTCGTGCGGGAGGGGCTCCGTGTTCCTTGGCTGTTTTACAGTGGTCCTCGGGTTCTCCTGAGGTCTTCCATGGGCAATCGAGGTTCAACTTATGGGAGAAAGGGGCCCCGTTGCTTATTGAATCGCTTCGCTCATTCCGCCGGCCCATAGTGTAGCGTCGCTGGCACTTGCTTGCGTGCTCGGGGGGGCATTTGGGTGGCCTCCTGGGGCCGCTTGGGGGCCTCTTGGGGGCCTCCTGAGGGCCTGTTGGGGGCCTCTTGGGGCCTCTTAGGGGCCTCTTGGGGCCTCCTGGGGACTTCTGAGGGCCGAGGGCTCGAAATATTGTTTCGTGTTCCCCCCCTGGGGTCCCTCTTGGGGCGTTCTTGGGGCCCTCTTGGGCCGTCTTGGAGGCCTCTTGGGCCGTCTTGGAGCCCTCTTGGGCCGTCTTGGGGCCCTCTTGGGGGCCTCTTGGGCCCTCTTGGGGCGGTCTTGGGGGCCTCTTGGGCCGTCTTGGGGTGTCGTGAAGCCGAAAAGGTGGAAACGCCAAAATCTCTCCAAAACCTAAGGATAAGCAGTGAATTTTGCCTCTTGGGGCCCTCTCGGGAGTGCTCTTGGAGGCCTCTTGGGAGAAAGGGGCCCCGTTGCTTATTTAGGGTTCCTTAGGTCAACGCCCCTGCTGTAGGTCGGGGACGGAAAAGAGGGGGGTGATGACTGGGAGGGGGGGATATCATGGCGGGGACCATGATATTTCCCCAGATCCCATGCCGCCTCTTCTTATTTCATTGCGTCCCTGGCCTCCCCGCTGGGCCGCGCACATGCCGCCGGTCATGATCTGCACCCCCCCCTCTTGGACACCCCCCTCTTGGCCGCTCCTGAATAGGGGAACGAAGAATGCCATAAACATAAAAACTCGGAGGTCCGCGCGGATTTCTCGGATCCGCGCTGGACCCCCCCGGCGGTGCCTCCGGCGCCGCCCCTGGCGCGCTCCGCGCGCCAGGGAGGGGGGGGGTCCAGCGCCGATCCGAGAAATCCGCGCGGACCTCCGAGTTCTTATGTTTATGTCATGTTTTGTTCCCCTACCACATGTGATGCGTTTTCTTTTGCGCGTGTTGCACGGGCGTTCTGCGTAGTGCGCTGCACGTGCTGCACGAGTGTCAGTCACCCCTGTTGCCGCGCCTCTTCGGGGCTTCGAGGCTCAATGGGGAGAAGACGCGGTGCTGGCGCACAGGCTCAGCTCCGCTCTTGTTTGTTCGCCGTCCCTGACGGGCATTTTGCCGAGTCAAAAGATCGGTTTTCCCCTCCTCCGCATTTTCTTCCACCTCTTTTTCCTCTAAGTACTTTCTCCCTGCCGCACCACCAGACGTGTCGGGTGGGAGATTCGGACCCTGAAGCTTCGCGTGGCCAACAGTCACAGGCCGGATCCAGCCGCGGCCACGAGGGCGCCCCAGGAGGCCCCAAAAGGCGAGGACAACGGATGAGGAGGCGGAGACGGAGGAGGCGGAGGAGGAGGAGGAGGACGTGGACGTCAAGAAGAGAGGGTGTGGAGGAGGGGTACAGGTAGAGATATTGGGAGGATGGGCAGATGGGATGAGTGCGTCTGATTGTTCGTGGGGGGTGCGGGCAGGGAGGAGGAGGAGGAGGAGGAGGAGGAGGAGGAGGAAGAGGAAGAGGAGGAGGAGGGGGAGGGGGAGGAGGAGGAGGAGGAGGAGGAGGAGGAGGAGGAGGAGGAGGAGGAGGAGGAAGAGGAGGAGGAGGAGGAGGAGGAAGAGAGGAGGAGGAGGAGGAGGAGCAGGAGGATACAGACGAGAGAGAGGAGGAAGGAGGAGGAGAGAGGAGGAGGAGAGGAGGAGGAGGAGGAGGAGAGGCAGGAGGAGGTAGGAGGTACCTGGGTGGCGGGTGGAGGGTGGTGGGGAAAGGGCCCTCCTCGCCACGACGCTCCCCCCCCCCAGGCCTGTGCCCGGAAGCTCGAGGAGGCCGCCGCGCCCGTGCTGGCGGCCGGCTCCGAGCTCGAGGCGTTCCCGACCCCGGCCGCCGCCCTGCAGGACCGTCGACGGTGCCAGCGCGCTCCCCTCCTCGCTAACACCCCCCGTGCGGAGGAGGAGGAGGAGGAGGAGGAGAGGGGGAGGAGGGAGGAGAGGGAGGAGGAGGGAGGAGGAGGAGGAGGAGGAGAGGAGGAGGAGGGAGGAGGAGGAGGAGGAGGGAGGAGGGCACATGCTCTTGAGGCTGGAGCCCCTTGTCGTCGTTCGTTCGCTCGCTCGTCGCCCCCCGCCCCTGGGCCTCCCTGCCCCGGCCTCATGATGGCCGTGATGGCCCCAGGAGGACATCCATGATGGCCCCAATAGAGCCCCGGCGTCCGCATTTCGCGAATTGTGTTCCCGAGTGCGGCGTCAGACCCGCAGCCTTCACAGCTGCGGCTACTGGCGCTGCTGAGGGAGAGATCAGACGCGAAGCTGCAGCCGGCGCGCAAGCTACGCATGCAAGGCCTTCGAGCGCAACTTGTGGGCGGACTCGCGCACGCACTCCAGGGGTCCAGCAGCGCGCCGCTACCCTTGCGGCGCGCCCATCCACTGGGAGCGCCTCAGCTGCCAAGAGGAAGAGGAACGCGATCGCCCCGCGCACATTCACGCGTTCGGCACGTGCTAGTTCGCGGGCCCCCACGCCCTGCCGCGCCCGCGCGACGGCCAGCAACCCTGAGCACCAGCGCGACCTGGAGAACCACGTCACGCCAACGATCAGCAAGCTCAGCTACCCAGCGGCTCAGACTTCGGGGCAGCATGCGATGCTGGCCCACCGCCCGCGCCCGCAGGAGGGCCGGGAGCTGGCTCGTCATCCAGCGCCAGAGCTCAGGGCATTGGTTCGGCCGGCTGTGTCGCTCAACCGGGGATGCGAGCTCAGGGCGTTGGTTCGGGCGACTGCGTAGCTCGAGCAGGGGTCCGATCTAGTCCATCCGGGGTTGCAGAGCCTCGTCGAGCGGCGCCGCGAGTTGCTGGCGCAGCAGCAGGCGACCCGTCACCCACAGACTGGACTCGCTTCGACGTCGCTACTTCCTTGCGAGCACTTCGCAGTGACTCGCGCGAAACACGCGCGCGGGAGGCGCGCGGGCTGCCAAGTTACCAGAGGACATCCTCACATTCATCCAATCGGCGGTCCACAACTGCAGGGGCTGTCGCTAGTGGCCACTGGCAGCGCACCAAACCTTCCCTGCACTCCGCCTGTCGACGCGATTCAACCAGCGCGTCGAGTGCGACATCACGTTTTACAAGGATCGCATGATCATCCATCTCATCTGTTGCGCCTCACAGCGGCGCAATGGCCAGGATGTCGCGCCCGAGCACGACTCGACGCTGCTCGCCGTGGTCGGCTCCATGGAGACTTTGGTCGCGGTTGGCGAGGGCGGAATGACCTCCGCGCACTTCGTTGAAGCGGTGACGAAGAGCAGAGTGCACATTGACATGCGCGCTCTGCGCCAGCCCGCACTTTTCGCATAGCGGCGAGGGGCCATGCTTCGACTAGCACTTCGCGTCGCAGAGGAGCAGCTGGAGTGCGAAAGCGTCGCTGCGAACTTCGACTCCTTGCTGTCGTCGTTTGCGAAAGCAGCGCCCATCTCATGCATCGGCGACGCGACGACAGAGCTCGCCCCTTCCCCCTGCGTAACATGGTTGACGAGGAAGCCGCGCCCCCGCGCAGACACTGCGTCGCATTTCCTATTTGGGCATTCGTTGGCCAACATTGAGATATGGGGCGCGGGGGCGGTGCGCTTGGGCCTTTTTGCAAGTGGGCGTTTATTTCGCAAGCGGCGGTGGCACATGCCATCTTTGCCGGCGACGTCCTCGCCCGCGAGGGCGTCGTTGCGCCGCGCAGCTTCGTCTTCGGACGGCAGCCGCCAATGCTGCGGCCGCTCGAAGCAGACGGCCAGGGTGAAGCATCCGGCGACTGCCGGGCCTCCTGCTGGTCGAGAAATGCAGCCCAGCCGACTGCAGTGGCGCATGCGACAGATAGCCTTGCAAGGCGCGATCGAAGCCGCGCCGATCGCGCGCGTCTGCCGCGCCGTCGGGGCCCGCGCCGCCGAGTCCGGGGAGGGCCGCTTCAACGTTGGCAACCAGGTTGAGATCCACAGGCCGCCAAGCACCAAGGATGCGCCGGGCTGGGCGGGCCCTGGGGCAGTCGCGTTTGTAGATCCGGCTCGGGGCAAGGTGGCGGCCAAGTATCGCCGAGCTAAGATGGCCTGCAGACTGCAGACTGCAAGACGCCTGGGCCTTCATCGGCGCCGTTTTTGACGAGATAGCCTGGGGCACGCGGCGCCGGGCCCCAGGGCCAGGACATTCGGCCCCTGGGAGGGCGCCAGCGGCGCGCCGCTCGCCGAGCAGGCGCGACAACGCCTGGGCGTTTCTGAAGCCCTGCGCCGACTTTCCTGCAGATGCTTTCAGCTACCAGACGTTCGCGCTGTACGACTCATTCGCGGACGCGTCCGTGGGCAAGTGGTTGGTTTGCACCAGCAGTTGCACCATCTGGTGGCCCCTGTCGGACCCCTGCCAACGTCCACCGCATCCACTTCAACGGCGTCGCGTGCGACGTCCACCGGCTCATCGGCGAGCATTCGTTGGAAGGAAGCTCGCGTCGTCCAGTGTATCTTGGGCGAGCAGCCGTCAGCGGTGACAGCCGCCGGACAGGGCCTGGACGGAACGTTCGATGACTGCGTGATCGACGCCCCCGAGGGCGCCGCCAGCACCGCCGCGGGTGGATCACCATCATCCCTGTCGGCTACGCCAGAAGAGTAAAATTATTGCACGGCAAATTGCGCAGTACATGGAGATAGTGGTTAATGTCGGCGCGGAGGACGGTCTGTAGGCGCATCCCCCCGCGCTGCTCAGGACTGTGCGCGGCCGCGCCTCTGCCAAGGAGATCGGCAGGATGAGGGAATAATTAGGGCGCGTGGTCCCTGCAGACCTCGTCATAAATAGCACGTATGTATTCGGCGCCCTGGTCGCGGACCCTATCCAGCTGCCGTCCGAGAACGGCGTGGCTGGCCACCTGTGGTGGTTAGCCGACCGGCTGTGTAGCTGTGTACCAATCAGACGACGACTTGCACTGGCGCGACTTTCGGGACGCGTTCGCCGACCCCATGACCATGGGCAACGTGGGCCGAGAGCTATTCCTCGGCTCGGTGGACGGCCATATCAGCCATGACCACGCCACGGTCAAGCACAGCGATGAAATGCTAAATAATGCCGCCCCGAGCTCGCAGCATAGCTCACGCACGCAGAAATCATG